ATTGTCCCTTAGCACTCCCTGACAGCAAATCGCTTGTATCTATCACAATCCCGTGTTTTAAAGTGTATCTAGATTACCGACTTATCGCTCTGTGTTGGAGAGATGTTTACTATCTATGTTACAGACGTGTATGAATGCTGTTAGCGTGATGATTCCAGAAATGAATAAAGCGTATAAACGATAATGGCCTTATAACGTTCTGAACACAACAAACATTATTTCAATTTTTCAGTCTTATCAAGTGTTGGTTTGATCAACTGGAACACATCTATAGGATGGCGAGTACAGAAACCTGTATGCAACGACCGGTGATATAAAGCGTAAACCCATGGGTCTCAATGATAGCGGCTGAGGCTTTAAGTATAAACTTGTTTGATATATACATAGCGATAGAGGGTATTGAGAACAAGCACGTTTAATGTGAATATTGATATCTAAACATATCGTACATGTTACTTGTTGCCTGTATATAACGGCCAAACACGCGTTAAATTTATTCTGGGTTCATAGACGGACATGTAACAAATTGGGTATCAAAACCGCAGTATACTAATCGGAAACTTCCACTAAACATGTAGAAAACGGAGTCAAACATCCCGTGAACAACACGTGGCATTTGTATCTAGGTCGCAGTGTCAAGTCCAATCTATTTACATGAATGACCACTATCTCAATCTAACTGATATTTCGTGGCTAGCAGTAAAATGCTGTAGTTTAATTAATCATTTACGTGTGTGTGTTTCGCACAATTTTAGAAAATGTTTTGGTCGAGCAATTAGTCACGTTATTCAATATTGTATTGTATAGTGTATAACTGAACCTGTGTGAATGTACATGCTATGCGAGAATACATTTTAGAATGATTCAAAATTTGTGTCGTCATCACTTTAAATTTGCAAGTGATGTAATGACTCATAAACAGGCGCGTGTCAGGTAGATATAGGCGAAATCTCGTAAGTGTTTTGTCTACAGGTAGATAACATGTAGGCGATGGAGTTTTTAATTTTCCCCCAAAGGTTCACTAACGATGTTACATGCATAACGCCCCTTGTCGATAGACATTTCCCTTTGTATACAGTCAAATCATAGTGTTGAACTCATTTATTGTACTCAACTTAAGTAAAACTCGTGTCCCTTCGACCTTGTATGTAAGTAACAGACTACTTACATACGACGAGAACACTGTTATCTTTACATCGATGACACCTAGCTTTCACGTACGCCTCACTACACCCTTTGATAACATTGTAAAGTCGGACATTGAAATGGTATTAATAAGACGAAACCGTGACATTTTCAAATGGTAGCTCGCCATTGAGGACAGTTCGCAAAGTGACGAACCGCCAATGTTTAGCCAGATGGTAGTTTTATAGTCATAAATCACCCTAACCATTTAATAGGTAATAGTGCTCACCTGGAAGTTAGTTACCTGTCATCGCTGTGGTCAGACCTGTTTCATGTCATAATAGAACAATTCTACCTGTCTATATATAATTATATTACAAGACAACTGGCGACCGTCTGTGAACCTAATGTACATGTACACCTGAATGGATCTGATCTCCGATCCAGTGTCAACCTATAGCCATTGTCTGTACTAAGGGTTGCATACCTGTCTTTGTATATTTTTCTTAAGAAAACAATCATACAGTACAGAGATATGTATCCAATTCCTGCCACTGATTTCTGTAGCAATAGCATGTATTCACACAGGTTATTGCCACAGGGTTTTTTTTTCAAATGTCATTCATGACCAGTAAAAATCGGAAACTATAAATACACGACTATCTATATATCTATCACATCGTGCACGTGATACCTATATCTAATATCACCTGTGTTTCTTACCCGAGTTAAATTAACACAGCTACCCGATGACTATCCTAGCTAAGACCAATAAAGGTGTGTAGGGTCTGATAGGTATATATTTGTACTTTGTATATGTCATACGGAGTCTAATTTAAATAGTCTTTATACCTTCCGATTAAGTTAAATTAAAGATAAATACACTTACCTCCAGTTGAATTCCAAATAAATCTGCGTTAGATTCATACTTCAGGACACGGTCACTTTCACTTACGTCACATAAAATCTTCTTTTCTTCCATATTTTTTTCATTTCATTTAAACTCGCATTAACAATGTGTTACCATCACTACAGGTTGTTTACATCCAGGTGATGGATAAGTAGCTATCGATAAACACGTACGATAGAAAACGTATTACGTTACGTTACCGGTTGTATTTGGATCAATAAAACACACGAGATTGTTACATTCCAATATACAATGAGATGAAAACATCCTGACGTTTTACCGCACAGCATCGTAAGGAAGGAGACACAGCATAAGGCAGGTTTATGTTGAACACAGAGGTATTCCGTTTGACATTTTACAAAATAACCCGAACGGTTCCGCTGCACGACTCGTCTGCTTGAAGAAGGACGGCAGCTGTCGGTTCTATTCAACGTTTTGCTGTTATACAAGGATGCTTGTTAACATTGAACTGACGACCGCTAATACTTGTGGAGATAAAACAAATTATATGTGTCCGCATACAACTCGTCTGACGGCGCTGTACACAATAGCTATATCAATACACACCAATCACGATAGACCACCAAATACCACTGCTTTGTTCGTCCCTCGCAACTCGAATGCTATCACCTTTTGTTTACAACTCAGGTGTTTTCCTGGTTGGACGGAAAGCGTGCAGCTCTCGTAATTCGTGTATCACCGAATTTTATTCCTCTTTATAACCTTACGTGTACTCTAACACGGGGCAGTACAATGCACATATGTAATATGATTGCCGATCTTGTGAAAAAGAGCAGTTAACGGACTGTGTTATTTATGGCCCACAGTTATGAAGACATCGATAATGCATATATCTATAAATTATCAACGGAATGCATTATAAGCCGCACAGGTCCTGGGCCGAGTTAATCGATAGACAGTGCACGCAAGGTGTTCTAACTGACACGCGAAACACGAGACTATATTACTCAGTTATGAAAGTTCAAAGGAGAAAACGTAATTAATATTCTCAGAATAGACACATTGCTTACCAATTGTCTAGCAACAAGTCATATGTCACATTGGTGCTATTTCAAAAGTTTGAGTTAAAAGATATTTCATTTGTACAAAACATATTGTGGGATAGGCCGCAAGTTTCCCCACTTATGTTTAGTCCTTGCCCCATGAATTAGGCCAAAATACATATTGTAAAGTCAAGACGACGTGCTTAAAAGAATTTTTAAATGTAACTGCGAACAAAAATGGACGTTAATAGACGCTGTGGGCATTTCTAGATCATTGTTTCGAGATATGAAAACTTCTAAAATATAATATGAACTAAGATATCAGATTTCAAGATGAGGTTAGGACACTCAAATTTAACACTACCCGGGCCTGACAGCCTGTTCAAACTGCACCAAGTAAGTAATGTGCACAACAGTCCGATGTTGTTTCTTCCCTGGAATACGGTAAGGACATATTTTGTCGTGTTAGAATGTCAGGTATCATCTAAATTAATATTCATTATGTAGTATACTCAGTATCGATTTCATAAGTCGTAATTTTATATTGATTTTATAAAGTTTAATATACTTAAACTTGATAGAACAAAACTTCAAAGAGAAGACATATAGTCTAGAGGGGTATTTCATTACTACTCATTCTATTAGTTCAAAAGTATTCATGTTTTGCAACTTGTGTGCTTGATGTGTTTTTTATGATTGCTATGGAAATTCATTTTAACTTTTATGTAAGTTAATTAAATATAACTTAACAAACAATGATACAATTTTTATTTTAGTCGGTTATACTCACTTTACATACAGATCAATAAAGATATACTTCAAAAGGCCAAACATATTTAGACATATGTTTTATGAGGTTGAATACCAGTAATCATCGATTTCAATGTACTTTTGGCCTGTTTGGATATCACAGGAATGCTTATGACATTTTCAGTAAGTCACCGTTTTTTGTTTTTTTTTTTTTTCATTCTTGATTCAATATTTAGTTCTGCCTATAAAAACTGAACTTTGAAGACTGAACACGACACAAACATAGCAGAGAAATATATCAATTTTAAAAAACGCGAAGTCAACGAGTACGTTTTTAAAACTCGCGCATTGACCTAACTTTATGTGTGTACAGCGTTGCTATACCTTTACCACGCTAATAAACAGATCCGGTTCAGCCGAAACTGAACTCCAAACCTAGGAATTCTGAACAATATACTGTAAACACTCCATAACAAAACGACTAACGTACGTGTAATGACTGCCATTGACATCCGGTTTATCAATGTCTTTGGTTGTCCGTGGATACTTTGGTAATTGGCAGCATAACATATCATAGTCATAAGTAATCACTGAAAGTGACTGCCATTGGATGGCAACGAGAGTGAATGTCATTGGATGGTAATGAGATTGAATGTCATTGGATGGCAATGTAAGTGATTGTCATTGGATGACAATGAGAGTGATTGCCATGGGATGACAATGAAAGTGATTGTCATTGGATGGCAATGTAAGTGATTGTCATTGGTAGGCGCTGAAAGCGATTGCCATTGGATGGCAATGAGAGTGATTATCATTGGTAGGTAATGAGAGTGATTGCCATCGGTAGGTAATGAGAGTGATTGTCATTGGTAGGCACAGAAAGTGACTGCCATCGGTAGGTAATGAGAGTGATTGTCATTGGTAGGCACAGAAAGTGACTGCCATTGGATTGCAATGAGAGTGATTGTCATTGGATGGTGCTGAAAGTGACTGCCATCGGAGTGGTTGTCATTGGTAATTGATGAGCGTGATTTCACTGGTAGGTGGTGAGATAGGGTCTCATTGGTAACTGAGGAGCGTGATTGGCGCTGGCAGCAGATGAGAATGGTTGTCATTGGTAACTGACTGGAATTATTTCATTGGTAGATGGTGAGAGTGGTTCCACTGGAAGGCAGTGAGAGTAGCTGCCATTGGAAGCTAGAAAAGACTGGTTACCACTGGTAGACGATGGAGGTGGTTGTCATCGGTAGCTGATGACAGTGATTCCACTGGTAGGCGATGAAGGTGGTTGACATCGGTAGCTGATGACAGTGATTCCACTGGTAGGCGATGAGAGTGGTTGACATCGGTAGCTGATGACAGTGATTCCACTGGTAAGCGATGAGAGTGGTTGACATCGGTAGCTGATGACAGTGATTCCACTGGTAAGCGATGGAGGTGGTTGACATCGGTAGCTGATGACAGTGATTCCACTGGTAGGCGATGAAGGTGGTTGACATCGGTAGCTGATGACAGTGATTCCACTGGTAAGCGATGAGAGTGGTTGACATCGGTAGCTGATGACAGTGATTCCACTGGTAAGCGATGAGAGTGGTTGACATCGGTAGCTGATGACAGTGATTCCACTGGTATGCGATGAGAGTGGTTGCCTGTAGTTTGCCTCGTATGCGGCTAGCACCGTCCTATTAGTCTACTTGTCTACTACCCATCCAAGTTTATACCCTATTCCTACACAATATTGAAGTGATCAAATGAAAGATACATCGTTATCTCCATTCAGGAGAGTAACGGAGAACGTAATAGGTGGATAAACCAGAATGTAAATGTTCAATCTATTTCCAATTACACTTGACATTGGTTTGTGAAATATCTAATCACATAAGTAAAACCAAGGTCGGGAAACGTCTATTTCGCTGTCATTTAAACGAGAAATGATTTCTAGTTTAAATCAGCTGAGAAAATGATATTACCTCGCCAATTTGTTACTTATGTTACAGAATTTGTTCAACCAAAGATTTCGAGAAATCTTTCCTTATTTTATTATTTTACTAAATCATGGTGAAATTGTATATGTGTGTGTGTGTGTGTGTGTGTGTGTGTGTGTGTGTGACACTTGTTTCTTTCAATGACTCGACAGTGGTCACTTTTCCCCCACGAGCTATCAGAACGTATGCCTCTCTGTCTACTGATCTTTACAGTTGCTCTCGGCTCATCATCTGGTGAGTGAAAAAACATCTATTGGAGCGGAAAACAACTTTTCAAGTAGAGTGTTTTCACCAATTGTAGTGTTTTGTGACACCTGCATTAATATCGACTGTTTGACATCCGTAGCATATGGAATAAGTACGAAATAAAAAATATTAATAAATTGGACATTCTGATTTGTTTTCTTTCTACAAACATCTGCAATAACAGCAAGTAGTTTCCATGGTAAATTCAATGGCACAGTTCAAACGTTAACTATAATCGATTGTTTAATTTATAAACGGACGCCTGCTTTTGTTATACTTTCGCTTTTGATACCGTCTCCTTACAAAAATACAACAGTACATTCTCTCCGAGCTTCAGATGCTGTTTTTGTTCATCACAATTGATAAATTACTTCGACATCATCGAGCTCTTTAACAATTTTTTTTAAACAAATTCATTTTTCTAGAATATGATTTTTTTCCAAAACCGCAAATTAATTGTTGTTATCGGGTCGTGTATGTTTATCATTACATTATCACAATTCAACAGCATGCTAAATTCAAATGAAGACATAGCTTTCTAAGTGTGTAAGTAATAGTTGCTTACAAAACATCACGTGTCTAATCATCAGGCACCGTATCGTTACTGCAGCAAGGTGACACGGTGAGAACTCCAGTAAAAACCTCGTACAATTTATTTTCAGTACCTCTAATGAGAGAATTCGTTTTCCTCAAGGTCAGGTGACTGACAGGAGCGTATCCACTGAGACTAGATTATGTCACTGGTAACTAGGATTTGAACAAGGAAGAAGAAAGGCAATTTCTATCCATATTTTATGAGAGCATCAACAAGACAGAAGGGGAGATAACTTCATTCTCGATATGATGAACAAGGAATGAGAACTATCTCCTACATGTTAACAAAGTTATTAAAAGATAGAGATAGTAAAACATATCATATACTTAACTAGTATGTTTAAAAAAGCAAATTTATATATTTTATAGTGTCAGCAAGGAAGGAGAAAATTATTCCGTTATAACCGTAACTATGAGCGTGTCAAAGCTGGAAGAAAAGAAATTCTTGTATACGTAACTAGGGTGACGAAAAGGCTGGGGAAAATATCACTCCTGTACAATTTTGGAGGAGTTAAAAAAAAGTAAAATATAAAGAAGACTGAAAAGGCTGGAGAAAAGATGACATATCATCATTATATAGGTAACTATAGTGACAACAAGGAAAGGATAACTCTTACACTTTTAGGAAATATCAACAGTGTCCCTCGTCGGCCATGTGTAATTCTTGTGTTGTGAGCTCTTATATAACGTATTGACGGTTATGCACGAAAATATGTCCTAAACCGAATATTCTCGAAACCTACAATTTATTGGCTAATGTTTATAATCTTATAAGCTTATTTCATTTTTCTTCCCATTTTATTCGTTATTTGAGTATTTGGTTTTATTACTCGTTTAACTTAATAAAATACTACATCTGGGTTCGGGATATATAATACAAATAAACAAATACTCTCTTAACATTCGCAACTACATTAGATGAAAACGCCAAATTCCAGTAAGGATAGCAGAATCCCATAGATGCAAATCTAAAAATACGAGCAAATAATTGTATCAGAAAAATGGATCCAGATTGGGGTCTGATTTCTTTGTCGTGCTGGTGCTTTTAAATGGTTCTAGCCCAATATTAAGTTTATCTATTTCTGTTGCCTTACATTGTTTCTTTCGCCCATCAACCTTAAGGCTAGGTTCATTTTACATCAATATGGTATCGACTGTTTTCATTTACTTTCGACTCATCTCACATTGGTTTACGACTATCTGTATTTGATGGCTAGCCTTTTGCACGATTTAACAGCGAGATACTGTCGATTTCTCCATCTTATAGTTCCACCAGGATTACATCACTTATCAGTAAGAAGAAATAGTTCTGTATATATATATATATATTTACTATATACAAATAACTCCGGAGGATTAAACCGAAGTTAACAGGGTTTATTACACCCATTACTGCAGAAGTATTTTATCAAATCACTTAACCACTTTTCTTAATGTAATGGTGTTGACGGCGACGTTCATTGTATCCTAAATCTCCGTATATACTTTTTTTTTCATTGATCTGATATAAATTCTGTTTTAAAGTCTGTTTGTTACATGTCGGAAATTTATCTAAACTACAATACACATACTTCATTACTTCTGTAACAGCGATATTTCTTGGCAAATATACCGAACATACAGAGACGCTAGTTATACTCAGAATAGTGACAAAAGATATTCATGTGGGTTATTGACAAGGGTTTGGCACCTATAGAAACAAAAGACATTCGTGTGGGTTATTGACAAGGGTTTGGCACCTATAGAAACACAAGACATTCGTGTGGGTTATTGACAAGGGTTTGGCACCTATAGAAACACAAGACATTCGTATGGGTTATTGACAAGGGTTTGGCACCTATAGAAACACAAGACATTCGTGTGGGTTATTGACAAGGGTTTGGCACCTATAGAAACACAAGACATTCGTGTGGGTTATTGACAAGGGTTTGGCACCTATAGAAACACAAGACATTCGTATGGGTTATTGACAAGGGTTTGGCACCTATAGAAACACAAGTCATTAGTGAGGGTTATTGACAAAAGTTTGATATCTTTATAATCACATGGCATTCATGGGAGAGGGTAATTGGGGATTGCTCAACACCTATAGAAACACAAGTCATTCTCGAGGGTGGGTTATTAGGGTTGTTTTCATACCTATAAAAACACAAGACTTTCGAGAGGGTGGGTTATTAGGGTTGTTTTCATACCTATAGAAACACAAGTCATTCTCGAGGGTGGGTTATTAGGGTTGTTTTTATACCGAAAGGAGCACAAGACTTTCTAGAGGGTGGGTTATTAGGGTTGTTTTCAAACCTATAGAAACACAAGTCATTCTCGAGGGTGGGTTATTAGGGTTGTTTTCATACCTATAGAAACACAAGTCATTCTCGAGGGTGGGTTATTAGGGTTGTTTTCATACCTATAGAAACACAAGTCATTCTCGAGGGTGGGTTATTAGGGTTGTTTTCATACCTATAGAAACACAAGTCATTCTCGAGGGTGGGTTATTAGGGTTGTTTTCATACCTATAGAAACACAAGTCATTCTCGAGGGTGGGTTATTAGGGTTGTTTTCATACCTATAGAAACACAAGTCATTCTCGAGGGTGGGCTATTAGGGTTGTTTTCATACCTATAGAAACACAAGTCATTCTCGAGGGTGAGTTATTAGGGTTGTTTTCATACCTAAAGGAACACAAGTCATTCTCGAAGGTGGGTTATTAGGGTTGTTTTCATACCTATAGAAACGCAAGTCATTCTCGAGGATGGGTTATTAGGGTTGTTTCATACCTAAAGGAACACAAGTCATTCTCGAGGGTGAGTTATTAGGGTTGTTTTCATACCTATAGAAACACAAGTCATTCTCGAGGGTGAGTTATTAGGGTTGTTTTCATACCTATAGAAACACAAGTCATTCTCGAGGGTGGGTTATTAGGGTTGTTTCATACCTATAGAAACACAAGTCATTCTCGAAGGTGGGTTATTAGGGTTGTTTTCATACCTATAGAAACACAAGACTTTCGAGAGGGTGGGTTATTAGGGTTGTTTTCATACCTATAAAAACACAAGACTTTCGAGAGGGTGGGTTATTAGGGTTGTTTTCATACCTATCGAAATTTTTAAATGCATACATATCACAAACACCTGTCTGATATATCATACGTATCATGATCGTTTGTGTACTCAGAGGTACTTCATTTTACTGTGTCCTTGGGATGCTGATCACATAAATCTTAACACAAATAAAGTGAAAATAGAAACGGGAAGATGTTTGTGTTTCACAACTGACACATCCGTATTGCGTGACTTGCATTCCGAAACCTTGGCCTTTTTATTTTTTTATCCTTAATTTTCCATGTGTCACATTTATCATCGTTTTCAGCTTACTTCCTCCCAGATTTAGCCCTCTCCAACTACACAGAGTACTATAGTTATCATCGTTTTCAGCTTACTTCCTCCCAGATTTAGCCCTCTCTAGGTACACAGTACTATAGTTATCATCGTGTTCAGCTTACTTCCTCCCAGATTTAGCCCTCTCTAGGTACACATAGTACTACAGTTATCATCGTGTTCAGCTTACTTCCTCCCAGATTTAGCCCTCTAGGTACACATCTCTATCATCGGTACTTCCTCCAGTACTAGTTATCATCGTGTTCAGCTTACTTCCTCCCAGATTTAGCCCTCTCTATGTACACAGTACTACAGTTATCATCGTGTTCAGCTTACTTCCTCCCAGATTTAGCCCTCTCTAGGTACACAGTACCATAGTTATCATCGTGTTCAGCTTACTTC